AAAAGTACATGCGATTTTTGGCTCTTAATCAAAGAAAGTGCTAAAGATCTCTAAAGTAATGGACAATTACAACCTTTGTATGAATGGTGTAGATATTGCAGACCAACTGTGATCATATTATAATACACAACAAGTGATACAAAGAAATTAGATGCTGCTGTTTTTTTGGCCGCTAGACACTATAATTGTCAATTTGTATCAAATTGCCTGAATCTTAGATTCAACACAAGAGCAAAAGGATTTTTGCCTTGAATTTGTTTGGGATTTATTAGATGTCACAAATAATATTAGGGAAATTTAGCTAAAGAGTAATTAAAAAAAGGAATAAAAAGAAATACAACTGAAAAAAAAAAACAAATGATTAAAGATGACAAAGCATTTCGAGCTTTCAAACTAATGGTTTGTACCTGGTAACCATTTCCCAGAGTGATGACAATGTCAAGAGTCATGTTTGTGGTGTGCTTGGTGAGCAAGCAAAAAAAACTTAGATACAAATCACAAAACACAGAATTAAAGAAATCTCTGGTGTGCTGTGTGCGATATATCTCTTTGCTACAATAAAAGTCGAAGTTATTTTTTTGAGGTTCATATAAAAAATGAAGCTACTAAAAAAAATCTGCAGGGAAAGGTAATATATTTAACCTTACAAATTGTTATCAAAATAGAATAAGACTAACATAAGATATTTATTTATTAGCAAAAGCTTGCAAAATAGAAAATATTAGATAAATGTTTCAAATTGGATATGTAATCAGAACAGGGTTGATATCTCAAGTCGGTTTATGTTCAGGTTATGTTATTAAAATGAGATTGGAATATAATCCTTGGGCAGTTGGTTTTATATAAATAAAAGCATTTGAAGAACCAACTTCAATATAAGAACTTAGCCCTTAAAACTTCACAAATAAATAGTTCCGATTTGTATAGTAAATGACACAAGTTTAATATTTTTAATAAATTAAAATTTTATTATGAGTAAGTACCCATATTATATAACAATTTTGGTTTGTCTAGATCTTAATTCTTTAAAACTTAATTTGCAAAGTGATCCAAATAATTTTGTCTAATCAAATATTTTTATAAAGCAGGCAAAGCATATTATGTATTTTTTAATTTGTCTTTTGCTTAATTATATAACATGTGCCATGATATAATAACTTAATTTTCATGTGACCTGTATTTCTAGAAGCTGTCCTAGCCAATTTTAGATAATATTTTTGTAAAAAAAATTTTAAGGGCATTAGTTTTTCTCTAATTATTTTAGTGGGCAAATTTGTTCACCAAATTGGATGGTTTAAAAGATACTGTAATTATATAAATATTATGTTTATAAAATTATTATAACTATATTGGAATATTATAAAAAAAAATTATAATTATGCAAAATTTATAATTAATTTTAATTACTTCCGACAAGTGAAATTAGTATAGAGAATTAGTGATTAAACTCTATTATTCTAAATTCAGTGGTAGTTAGAGCCTTATGACATAATATAAAGCCTTATTAACTACTAAGTTTTTCATGGCTTGCCATTACTAGGTTCAGTATAGTATTTAGTTGCTTATTGATGTTTAATAACTTTATAAGGTCCATATTTTGTAATTCCAGAGAATTACAAAGGGCAAATATAAATGCAGCTGACCATAACGATCAAAGTATAAAATTGTATATTCAAAATTATAATTGTACCCTTAAAATGCGATGCTTATACAAATTGGAAGAAATTATAATCAGAGTGATATGATTAAAATGAATAGATTAGATATGAAAAAAAAAAACAAAAAATAAATTAGCATCATAAAATAACAAAATTTTAAAACACATTGGTGAAATAGATAAAATGAAACTTACTAAGAAAAAATAATTCTGATATCTTGACCAAACAAATAATAAATAAGTATTGTTTTTTCTTTTTAATTCTTTAATACTTAAATAATAACAATGACCAACTTGATATATTCATTAGAATTATTCACGTTTGATAAAGAACAAGCGCTTATATTCGTTACTTCCATCTTTTAACTCCTCAGATCTCTAAATAATAACAATAACCAACTTGATATATTCTATTAAAATTAATAGCAAATATTAAATAATAAACAAAATGCCTTACTTTTGTTATTTCTATCTCTTAAACTCCCTAATTCTTAAATAATAATGATAGGATCTTGATATGTTTTGCTGGAATTATTCACATTAGCAAATGTTTGATCTTTTTAACTTCTCAAGTCTCTAAATAATAACAGTAACCAATTTAATATATTTTGTTAGAATTATTATATCAACAAACATTTAATAATAAACAAAATACCTTATTTTCATTACTTCTGTCTTTTTTAACTTCTCGATTCTTAAATAATAATGATAGAATCTTGATATATTTCATTGGAATTATTCATATCAGTAAATGGTTAATCTTTTTTAACTTCTCTAGTTTCTAAATAATAACAATATCAAACTTGATATGTTCTATTAGAATTATTCACATTAGCAAATATTAATTCCTCAATTCTTAAATAATAACAATAGCTACCTAGAAAATACACTACTAGCAAATATCCTCCACTATACTATACATTCATATTTGCAACCACAAGAAATGCATTTGCCTATCATACTAATCTTATCTATAAAACCTACAAGCCCTGGCTACTTATATACCAAAATAACAACATTATTATTAGTCAAATGTGAAAGAAGCTTTCAAACTCAAACTCTGTATCAATTACTCATTGGGTATATAATATTGACACAGCCCAACAAAATAAATATCCACTTCCACCTATTACTTGCTCCTCATGCCTAGGATACAGTTTGAACTCTAATAGAGTAACCAACCACTACACACTTGAAATATCTCAAACCCTGTCTACCCAGTTCTTAGGTAGGAAAATATCAAACAAATTTCTAAAACTTAATACTAACTACAAAGACCTTATTTATTCTACAGCAATCAAACACCCTCTCTATATCTCCTACCTTCTTCTATTACTATCTTTGATCTACCTACTGCTCAGATCTTTCAAAACAGTGAGGCCTCTCAAAAGCTTACCCAACTCACACCCTCTCTATATCTCCTACCTTCTTCTATTACTATCATTGATCTACCTACTGCTCAGATCTTTCAAAACAGTAAGGCCTCTCAAAAGCTTACCCAACTCACACTCTACAATATCTTCTCTAATGATCTTACTTTCTACACTGATAGGTCTGTGATAGGACTAGGCACAGATCAATGCTCAATAGGTATAGACTGGGTTCAAGTTCAAGATGACCAACCAGTACAAGAATTCTTAGCAGAAATTAAAAGCTGGCCCTTTTCATACAAAGCAGAACTTATGGCAATTCTGTTAGCAATCTCAACAGCTCCAAGAAATGCTACAGTAAATATATTCACTGACTTCTAATTAGTTATATCAAAATATAACAGTCTATGTCAAACCTCTCCACTCTTATCCAAGTACACTAAATGCAATTACTAGCCTATTTGACATACTATTATAGGCTTTATTAAATTTTACAAAATCCAACTCCACTTTCACAAAGTCACAGTATACTCAGTTGACAAATTTAATAACTATGCTAATTCACTAGCAATACTCTGCCCCCAGCACTATATACTTCTTTTAGCTCATACTAATATGTATAATCCATTCTTTATTCTTATCTGGGAAAAGCATCTAGTAGAAAGCTATAGCAGACACTTTATCAAAGATATATGCAAAGCACAAACTATTGCTATGTGATCCTTACAAAAACATAATCTCAAATGGTCAAACTTTGTAGACAAAATTGACTAGCAAGCAACCTGGCTATATTTAAACAACAACCAAAAAGTCTCACATGGCTACAATAGCCAGAAACTCAACTATACAAAAGCCTTCAAAATAAAGATACTTCTAAACTGCCTCCCCACATATAACTACTTCCACACAACCTTATATTAACACTTTCAGTTTTCTAATTGCTTCAATTGTAACCTCTTAGAGATATCTACACACTGGCTAACATGTCTGCTGCCTAATATACTTAGCCAAATTATAGTCTCTTCTATATCTAAAACAGTTCATAAATTACTCTCAACTCTACCAATCTCTATACACAATATTCTTATTAATGCTTTATACTCACATCTGGCACTTAATTCTCCTTTCTGAAAACTATATTTAGCCAAATTAGCTTAATAGAAAAAAGAGCACAAGATCTCTACAAAATCTACAAGCAACCCACGTTAATACAAAAAACACTCAGCTTTAAAACAACATAAAAAAATCTATAAATATAGCTATCTTTGCAGACAACCAGATTAAGTACATGACAAAAATAATATATACCTACTAGCTGGACTAGCAACAAAAAAGTTCAACAGCTAGAGCCCCCCCATGTGGGTCTTCTCCAGTATATCTACAAACTTTATACTAACCTTAAAAGCTAGATGAGTCTTGACTACTCTAGTAGGTTTAGGTTGCAGATAAATTGATAAATTAGTCTTAGCTCTTACTCTTGCATGTAATTTATATGTATTTGTATTTGTACAAGTTAAGTTGTATATAGTTTACTATGTAACTTCTTATATAAATTACTCAATAAAGATATGAGCAAGATCTCGCCTTAAAAAAAAATAAAAATAAAAAATAACAATAGCCAACTGGTTATATTCTATTAGAATTATTCATATCAGCAACAACTTTTGATTCTCAAGTTTCTAAATATAACAACAACTAGCTTGATACATTCTATAAAAAATTATTAACAACAAATATTTTATAATAAACAAAATAACTTGCTTTTATTAATTCTGTCTTTTAACTCCTTAATTTTTACCTAATAGTGATAGCCATCTTGATATGTTTCATTGGAATTATTCATATCAGCAAACAGTTGATCTTTTTAACTCCTCTAGTTTTTAAATAATGATATCAAACTTGATATATTCTGTTAGAATTATTTATATTAGCAAACATTAACTTCTCAATTCTTAAATAATAACAATAGTCAACTAGATACATTCTATTAGAATTATTTTCATCAGCAATGTTTGATCCTCAAGTCTCTAAATATAACAATGACCAACTTGATATATTCTATAAAAATTATTAACAGCAAACACTTATAATGAACAGAGTACCTTATTTTTATTAATTTTATCTCTTAACTTCTTAAGTATTATCTAATAATAATAGCCATCTTGATATGCTCCATTGGAATTATTCACATTAGCAAACAGTTGATCTTTTTAACTCCTCTAGTTTCTAAATAATAATAATATCAAACTTGATACATTCTTTTAGAATTATTCATATCAGCAAACATTAACTTCTCAATTCTTAAATAATAACGATGGCCAACTAGATATATTCTATTGAAATGATTTTCATTAGCAATTTTTGATCCTCAAGTCTCTAAATATGACAATGACCAACTTGATATGTTCTATAAAAATTATTAATAGTAAACACTTATAATGAACAGAATATCTCACTTTCATTAATTTTATCTCTTAACTTCTTAAGTATTATCTAATAATGATAGCTATATTGATATACTCTGTTGGAATTATTCACATCAGCAAATAGTTGATCTTTTTAACTTCTCTAGTTTTTAAATAATAATAATATCAAACTTGATATATTTTGTTAGAATTATTCATATCAGCAAATATTAACTTCTCAATTCTTAAATAATAATAATAGCCAACTAGATATATTTCCAAATAATATTATTCAAAAAGCAAACATTAGATAATGAAAATATCTTACTTTCATTACTTCTGTTTTTTTAGTTTCTCAATTCTTAAATAACAATAGAAAAAGTAATGATAACCACTTGATATGTTCTGCTGAAATTATTTACATCAGAATATTTGATCCTTAAGTTTCAAAATAATAACAATAGTCACCTTGATACATTTCATTAAAATTATTCAAAACAACAAACATTATAATAAATATTTTACTTTCATTATTTATATTTTTCTAGTTATAAAATAACAATGGCTAACTGTTAGAATTATTTTTACTTTTATTAATTCTATCTTTTTAGCTTCTTAATTCTTGATATGTTCTGTTGGAATTTTTCATATATATCAGTAAATGCTTTAAATCTATTATTTTCATTGATTTTGTATTTATACATATTATAGTTATTATTGTCAAGATTGCTACCAAAATCAGTTACATAATCGCTTTTTAAATTTCAATCTGCATATATACATACATACTGTAAATAATAAAATTATGAGATTACAAAATTTTGAAGAAATAATTAAAGTTTTTTTATATTTATATTCAACTTATTTCAACTTATTAGAATTTATTTAATTATTGCTACAATTACATACTATTTAAATGTATAGAATACAAATTCAAATTTTATTTAATATACATATAAAGCTATTAATAAAAAGTACTTTGTTATATTTAGGGGCATGCCATTTATTGCATAATAAAATTTAACTAATAGCCTACCCTATCCATCCATGGTGTGATCTCAATGCTGATTGGCTAGATTATATATATAATATATGCATAATATATATAATTTTTAAAGTTGAATAACTTTTGATCTACTAGTTCGTTTGGGATGATTTAACTACCAAAATGTTCGTCTCAGTGAGACTAATCTAACAAGTTTAAAATCATCAAAATCCAATTACAGGATTTTGAGACCGCTAAAGTTTTTTATAATTTTAAAATTATAAAAGCTTTAGCAATCTCAGGATCCTGTGATTAGATTTTGATGATTTTAGGCTTGTTAGATTCGTCTCACTGAGACGAACAGTTTGGTAGTTAAATCATTCAAAACGGACTAGTAAATCAAAAGTTATTCAACTTTAAAAATTATATATATAATTATATATATTATAGAGATATGGCGACTTAGTGAAGTGGTCTAGTTGTCACCCTCTCCAAGTAGCAGGTCTAAAGTTCGAATCCCATGGATGATGATTTTGAAAAATAGGCCTGTGTTATGGTAATCTGTATAAGATAGTTGGATCTTGAATTTAGAATCTGTAACTCAAGTTGTACCAGGAAGTGATCTTGGGAGATCCGCTAGCATTTGTATAACTGGGGGAGAACCCTGAGAACTACAAAGAAATGCAAACTGGTTTCAGACGGTGCAAACACTTGATAAGTTCATGATCATATAAATCTGGGAAACTGTTCATTATTATACAGAAAGCCCATTTGAAAAAACCCGAGTTTGGAGGTAGTAGTGATCTTCAATGGTACTACATGATGGCTGAATTCTAACTGGGGCCAAGATTGGAGAACTGAGTGACCAGGTCCTTTAGTGGGGAGACACACTAGCCAAACTGCCGGTTTAGATGCACCGGAGAAAAAGGTCATACGCTCCGAAAGTATGGACCAAGGGGGAGGGCGTCCTTCAGACACCTGAAGCCTGGGCAAACCAACCTGTCTGGGTTGCCGGCTAGAAGTAAAGGAGGGACCGATTAAGAATTCAGATAAGAAGACAGTTGGATTGGGGTACTGGGGTTGTTGTGAACCAATACAAGGGCAAGAGTATATAATGAAAAACTAATTAGAAAGGTTGTGCTTGAGATACAGATTGTTTTACGGCAGCACCCCAAAAGGTGGCATGAGATATGAACACAATGCCAGCAGACAATATGTACTAATTGGAAAGAAATTACTGAACATGCAGATAAATACACATGTGGGATGTGGACCACTCTGTTAGGTTTATTTCGTGGATAAGATTAGCCTCATTGGGGTTAGGAAAGTTCTAAGGTGCAGATTGAGCAATAGCGAACTGCCTGTGTATAGTAAGCTATGCCTCAGGTTAGATAGTATCCATTGGTTTGGAAGTAGGTTATGGTCAGAGGGTTTAAAATTGGTACCCCCCTAGTTGGGTACAGGTACAGCAGATAGTGTAGAACCTTCAGGCGGACTACTTAAATAGGCACTCAAAAGGTGCACGTGTGGCTTAATGTACCCTTACTGTAATTGAAAAACATAACTATCTAATAAAATGTTCCCCAGCCAAAGAGGTCACCTTAATATCAAAAAAAAAAAAAAAAAAAAAATATTATGCATGTATTCTTGAATCTGATTGGTCAATTAGCCATTTTGTATAATATAATCAGGATCCTGACCATGTATCTATTGTATAAATTATATAATAAATGGTACACTCTTACTACAAGTTTTTTTGTAATATCCACTACAAGTTTTTTTTGTTTATTTAAAACTTTTAATATTATCTACTATTTTGGTTTAAAGTTCAATTCAATACTTTCAAAGCTATTTTTTTTGTTTGAGAAATTATTTGACTTTTCAAGACAATCAAATAGCTAAAACATAAAATTAAAAGTAAATTTCAGATTCGGATTCACTATCTTTAGTACTCAACTCTTCATTATTTATATTTTGGTTTCTGAATTTATCAGATTAATTATTAAATTTACTTGTGTATAATTGATTAAGGCTGATATTTTATAAGGTTTCTTTAGCTTCAGTAATGTGAGGGGATATTAAAAATTGCATTGTATCTAAATTAATATACCACAATGTTAGATTTAAACCATAATATAATAACAATGAACTTTGAAAAAGTGTAACTAACTATTTTAAAACTAAAACTAACTAAACTCAAACACTACAATCAATAATCCACTATCTAAAGGCCCTAAAAGCTTCGATTTGACAAGCAGAAAGAAGGCGTGGAGAGACTTGGTTTGAGTTTCGAAGCTCTTCGGGTCTTGCTGTAGCGAATTTGGTGGTTAAGTTGAGTATACCTTACAATTATACTCTTAATATTGATTAATATGCTTGGGCCGGAGGAAAATTATGGTCTCTTTTTCCCTATGTTAAGGTTGCTTGACTGAGATTCTTGCATTACGAGTATTGTAGATCGGCGGCTTAATTTAATATACTGGTATTTACGTCACGAATAAGTATTCAGCAGATCTGAAGTCTAATTTATGTGATGTTACGAGGCTCTTATTTAGCAAAAATCGATTTATCTAATTGTTAACCTAATTAGAGATAACAATAGATTACAGATATTGTTAAGTGTATGTATAAAGGTTCTAATAGTTATTTATTCTGTCTTTACTTTCTTTAAGAGATCGAGAAAGCTAAGGGTTTTTAATAAAGCAGGGAACTCAGGTTCGACACTTCTACTCTAATTTCGAAGATCTTACTTGTAACTATAACGTATTATGATTTTATCAATAATTCTGAAACAGGAAATTGGAGTATTTGGAATGTTTATTGGGAACAATGAGATATAATAAGTAACAACTATCAGAGTACTTCTACTAATTATTATTTTGAAGTATTACTCAACTAAGTTCTGTTTTATTTTAGGCGAAAGGAACTTTGCTTATATATCTTTTTTACATGTTCAAGAAGTACAGGTTTTGCAATGTTATGTCTACACTAAAAGGACTAAAGGTCGCTTGGGTTATAAATGCCTTTAAGGGCATTTATGACCTTAATAGCCGAAATGAAATAAATGTACTTAATGGCATTACCGCCATATATGGCACTTCGGCCAAAAATGAGATAAATTATATTTAAGGACTATAATTTGTAGTTACTATTTCTAGAAGTTTCCTCCTCGATTGAGTTTTACTGCTATATACATGACTAATTTCAAATATATATAATAACATAAGATAAAATATAATAAAAAAAAGAAAATCGGGTACCGGGAACCCCTCACAACTTGCAAAAGCTTTATTCGTGTTATTTACTTCTATTTATTAACAGTTTGAAAAATATCTGCAACTATTTTAAGATTTATATACATATTGCTTTTTTTAATATTCATAAATTTTTATAAACTACTAGCTCTTAGGACTTAGTTACTGCTCGGATTCAAGTTTCTAATTTTTTGTTAATTCTTAGAACTTAATGTTATTAACTCTTAGACTTTAATATTAAGACTCAGGCATTGCCTTGGGTTCAAGTTTCTAATTTTTTGTTAATTCTTAGGCCTCAAAGTTATTAGTTTTTAAGACTAGGTATTGTCTCAAGTTCAAATTTTTAATTTTTTGCTAATTCTTAGATATCAATATTATTAGTTCTTAGGACCTAGTTATTGCCCAGGTTCAAGTTTCTAATTTTTGCTAATTCTTAGACCTCAGCAATATTAGCTCTTAGGCTTAAATCATATTAGCTCTTAGAATCTGGTTGTTACCCAGATTCAAGTTTCTAATATTTTGCAAATTTTTAGACTTCAACAATATTAGCTCTTAGAACCTAGTTGTTGCTCAGATTCAAGTTTCTAATTTTTTGCAAATTCTTAAGCCTTAATGATATTAGCTTTTAAATTTAAAATATATT